GCAAACCCAGTGGACAGCTTCAGACCACATCGAAACACCACCACCCAACCACCTCCACAAGCAACACACTCAATGAGTGGACTCAGTGGGTACCAGAGCCCTGATGAAGTAAGTCTTGCTCTGTGTGGTGGCCACTGCACAGCTGATCCTCCAAGATAGTCAGAGGCCAGTGGCTAGTGGGCACAGCCAGTCTTTGCAGCTGATCAGCCTGAGTAAAACCCTCCCATTGATGTGCCAACAGCAATCAAGACTCAAATACAACAAAAGGGTGTACAGTCCACACTAGGGATGCACTTGAGGGCCCAGCTGCGTGATCAGGGAGACTGTGCCACTGGATCCTACAGGACACCTACAACAGTAGGTCACCCTACAAAGCCTAGGAGGCATAGCAACTCTGCCTAATACATAGAAACAATCACACGGAAGCAGCCAAAATGAGGAGACAAAGAAACAAGTCCCAAATGAAAAAACAGAACAAAACTCCAGGAAAAGAACTAAACAAAATGGAGATAAGCAATCAATTAGATGCAGAGTTCAAAACACTAGTTATAAGGTAGCTCAAGGAACTTGGTGAGACATTCAAGGGACTTAGTGAGACCTTCAAGGAACTCAAGGAGACCTCTGAGGAACTTAGTGAGAACATCAACAACATCAAAAAGGACCAGCCAGAAATTAAGGATGCACTAACTGAAATAAAGAATAATTTACAGGGAATCAATAGTAGAGTACATAAAGCCAAGAAGCAAACCATCGATTTGGAATATAAAAAAGCAGAAAACACCCAACCAGAACAGGAAAAAGAAAAAAGAATCCAAAAAATGAGGATAGTGTAAGGAGCCTCTGGGACAACTTCAAGCATACCAACATTCGCATCATAGGGGTACCTGAAGGAGAAGAGAGAGAGAGCAAGAGAGCAAGAAATTGAAAACCTACTTGAAACAGTAATGACAGAAAACTTCCTTAACTTGGTGAAGGAAACAGACATACAAGTCCAGGAAGCACAGAATGTCCCAAACAAGTTGAACCCAAAGAGGTCCACACCAAGACACATGATCATCAAAATACAGTTAAGTACAAAGAGAGAATCTTAAAAGCAGTGAGAGAAAAGCAGTCTGTTACCTATAAAGGAGCTCCCATAAGACTGTGAGTTGATTTCTCAAGAAACTTTGGAGGCCAGAAAGAAATGGCAAGAGATATTCAAGGTATGAAAAGCAATGGCCTGCAACCAAGATTACTCTATTCTACAAAGCTATCATTTAGAATCGATGGACATATGAAGAGTTTCTCAGACAAGAAAAAGCTAAAGGAATTCATCACCACCAAACCAGTATTATATGAAATGCTGAAGGGTCTTCTTGAAGGCAAAGAAAAATATGAACAATAAAATGGCAATTAATACATATCTATCACCAATTGAATCTACAAACAAAATGAGCAAGCAGAACAGAAACAGACTCATAGATACAGAGAACATTTTGTTGCTTGCCAAATGGGTGGGGGCTGAGGGGATGAGTGAAAAAGAGAAAGGAATTAAGAAGTACAAATAGCTTGTTAGACTGATGAACCTCAAAGGGAAGGGGGGAGAGACGGCAGGATGACATAAACCAAAGAACTTCTATGCATATATGCATAACCAAAGGACACTGGTTATGTGTGGGGAAAACAGGAGGGGGGTGGGATTGGGGAGAAGGGGGTCAATGGGGAAAAAAGGGAGAAACATCTGTAATACATTAAACAATAAAGATGAGTTAAAAAATAAATAAGATAAAATAAAATAAAATAAAATAAATAAGGAGTAGCAGGCAGAAGAAGACCTCACAGAGTAATAGTCAAGTTCTCACTGTGCAGAAATACTCAGTATAGGGAAACTAATGGCCTCAGAGAGAAGAAAGTTGGGGGGGGGGGGGGAAGCAGCTGAGTTAACTGGGTATATGTATTTAGCTATGAGGAATTAAAGAATTTGAAAACATGTTGCACACCTTCTCTGGGTCTTTTTCCCCCCCTGAGGGCAAGTATCGTGCTTATTATATTATCTCACACAATCTCTAGGAGAGAAGAGTATAGGTATATTTCAGAAGCTCTGTTTTTACTGAAGCAGTATAATAAAGCGGCCAAGGCCATTAACCTTTTAATCAGTTATGAAGCCTAACAACCATTTGACCTTGGGCAAGTTGCTTAACTTCTCTAAGCCTGAGTTTCCTATTCTGTAAGATAGGAATAATAATGATATCTACCTCATGAGACAGTGAATATAAAACACAGGATAAATAAGGCATCTTTTACCTTATGGCGAATTTCTCTTTAAGCCCTCATACAAAAAAAGTAACAAATATAGTGCCTGGCACATAGTAAATACCTAATAATACCTTTATTATTGAGGAAGGGATTTATTGTGTATTTAGATTAATTTCATCATCTGCCTTAATTTTACTATCTCCTTCTCTAGCTAAATAACTTAGGGATCTGTAAAAGCTGATCAGCTACTTTAATTTCCAAAGAAAAAGGAACTGTTTTAGAACCCAGAATGTATATTACTATCAGAATTAAAAGTAGGAATATTATTAGAAAAGGCAGCAGAGTTGGTTGGTATTCATACATTATAGTCTATAAAAATGGAACCTATGATTTTATAGTATCATAAAGATCGGGCCCCACTTTTTTTTCTTGGCCAGAAAAAACAAACTCCCATTTCTAAAAATAGCTCAGGTTTTCTCCTTGAGGAAGTCATCTTGCAACAAAATACCCTATTATCATAGAAAGCAAGTATAGGACAGTATGTCATGAACAAGACTATAAAAATGTAGTGGTATATGAACCAAGGAAAAAGTTCATCTAGAAAAACAAATAAGTAGAGGTTTTTCTTCAAATTTAATTGAGACTGTGAGTTTTCTGTTTTGTCACTATAGCTTTGATACTCCCATGTACATGATAAACAGTTCTTTAAGAAATTACAAATGACCTTTCACTGAAAAAAATGCTCTCTATATTTGCTTCTTTTAGAAAAGTAGATCAATTTCATAAAAGAATCATAAACAAGAAATAAAATTTGACATGTAGGAAAAGCAAACATAGTCTTCCTCTTCCTTCCTTCTTTCTGGTTTTTATATTTAAATTTAATCCAGCTTTTAAACAGCATTTCAAAAAGAGTTGAATTCTCAGCTTGCAATTCAGACTACACTAACCACTGCCATGAATTCAAGGGTGTGTGTGTGTGGGGGGGGGGGAGGGTGTAGAGGAGAGGAAAAAAAATACACATGTACACACACACAATTTATTTTATGAATTCCAAGACTATACAGGCCTATATAGGCTACACAATTTAGCTTTCTATGAGGCAACGAAATTCCATAGTGGTCTTATATAATCACACACACACACACACACACACACACACGCTATGAATGTGACACAGTAATGTTGTAAACCTATGAATTTTATCACTGAGTATGATCTGTTATTCCTGTTGAGGTTTAAGAATAAAATAAATTTTACATATAGATCAAATAGGACAACTTTTCTTTCTGATTAACTTTAAACCCTACTGAGAGTTATAAAGGGGAAATATTCTGAAGATTAATGAATATCTTTTGTTTTCAGAGTCTTCATATACTGCACATAACCTATTACATATAGTGTATCCTTTCCATGGAAAAATAAAATCAGCAATTATATAGTAGCTCAAAGCCTCTGAATAATTGAGGACTACAGAAATGACTCTTCAGAAGAAATTACAGGGAAAAATTTAGGTAAGGAATGCAATAATTTAGTAAGGACCTTGGTTAAGAGAAAGTAAAAGACATAACGGGATATACAATAACTTCCTATTTTAGAGTTACCCTCAAAAGAAAATCTCTAAAGATTTTTTCATATGAATTTCATGAGAAAAAAAGGTATATGAAAAAGCCTAAATGATGTGTCATCCAAAGTGACACAAATGACAATTGGGAGGCAAATAGAATATTTTGACTGAATGATTAGGAAAAAGGAGAGATTAAAACTTTAGAAAAGATAAATCAAATGGATTTAATAAATTTTGAAGTCCTGTGGATAAAAATAATCCCACCAAATAACAACAAAAAACACACATTAAAACAAATAAAAACACCTCACACCAAAGAAAAACCATGCCCTATATCTGTTTCTACTCAGATGAACTGTGAAAATTTAGACCTATACAATAGTTTACCATCCCTTCAAAAGAAAAAAATGGTGAGAAACTTTGATAATCTAACTCAATTAAAATAGTTTTAGAGAATCCAATCATTCTTTTATCTATCTCAAAACTTAGAAGTTACACCAAAATGTAATAGTCAAACATACATGCAAAATGACCATGCAATTAAGATAATTGCTAGTACCAAATGTTGTTTTTAAGTTCTGCAATAAAACAGTCTCCCAGACATTTAATAGTATGTCATTTGGTAAATGAAAGTTTCCACAAAGTAACAGCAGTGAGAAGACCTAAAAATTATGCTAGTGAAGAGTCTGGCCGAAAGAAACAAAAATATGGATCATTTTGGTCCAACACTAATTTTATTTCAAGTTACTACAGAGCTGAATAAAATGCTGACACCACCACACAAAAATTTATTGAGTTGGCAATAAGCAAAGCATGATGTCAGCTACCAATATCCCCATCCACATTACCAAATAGCATGAACACTTTAATTCTTGAACTTAGACTGCATGCCTAAAGTTACAGTAAAAATAAAAACCTTAGGCATGAGGCATTATTAAACATAGATGAGTTTAGTTTGGCAGAGTTTTGACTCAAATTAGTAAAGTACTTTAACAAATTCAGTGAAAACAAAAATGTAAGCTTAAACATATTACAGTTTTCTAAATGTGCTACATTCTTCACCAAACAGACCCAAAAAATAAGTCTTGGTCAACCTGCAATAATATTCAAATAAGTAACACAACACACACATAAAATGCAGGCTGACAAGAGACAAAAAACACACATATACACACACCTGCACAACCACACAAATCCTTACCTTCATGGCATGAATTTCTTCAAGCAATCGTTGTGCCCGTCTTTGGTTTTTTAACAGTGCATCTTCAGTACCCCTGCAAAAAATACATTATAATATGTAACCAGGAAAAGCATTTATTATAGACTCATATGATAACAAAAAAATCTCTTCTTTTAGAAAAGCATAATAAATCTCTAAATAACAAGCAATGTCATCCTGTACTGCTGTACCCCCTGCTTCCAACATATACCCCAATTCTATCAATAAACCCAAGTTTTTGGCAAAAATATGCATGTCCTGGCACAATATTAACAATTACTACCACTAATCGTTTGCCTTCTAATTCCTTAATGGGAAAGCCAAATAATGCTTTTTAATTAATCAGTTAATAGCACATTGTATTTAATATAAGTTCCGTAAGCTGTAATTAAAGGTCGCATACAACTTTATTAAATGAAAATTTGTTCTCTGGAATTAAAAGATTACATAAAGATGTCAAATATCTGATTATATCAGGAGGGCCATCTTCTGAAACATTTATGAAAGAAAGCACAAGAAATTAGTCAGAAACAAAACACATTTAAAGACTTTGCAAGTATTCATGTTTAAAGCATAAGAACTATAAACACTATACTTTTTCTCTAATACCAGTGACATTGGAAATACAAAATACTATTTTTTCAAAAAATTAGATAGAACACAATATTTTGATAAACACTTCCACAAGAACTGAAGATTTCAAATTAGAAATTCAAGAAATAAAGTGATTTAAAATCTTTATAACTGATTCAAGGTATTACTAAATTTGCTAAACTATATCAACATCTTAAAATAACTTCTAATAACATAAAATACATACATAACGTCAAAGGGCTTTCATTCTGAAAAGGCCAAAGATAGACTTAAAAAAACAGCAGAAGACTTCATCATGTATTTTAAGCAAATACGGTCCAAATCATGTAAGGACATGCTGACACAGCACACTTTATCTCACTCAGATCCTCTCTAAATATTAAAAAAAAGGTACTGTATGAGTAAGATATTTAATTATTCTGTTAGGTCACTCCCTCATATTTAGTAAATACTGAATAAAAGCAACTTTTGCCATTTTATTAGTCATGGGACCATAACTTTAAATGACTAACTTTTTTGACTTCAGTCTGCCAACACTCCTGACAAGTTTTCGGATGACCAAAACTCGGATTCTCTTCACTTCTTTTCTCATCTTCACAACCTTTGAAGAATAAAACAAAATTTAGAAAGACAATTAATTCAAGAGGAAACATACTTTATTTTGAGTCTTAATATTATAGACTAAGTCTACCACTTTAACCAAATTTTTGTTTAACTATATTCATAGTTGGATGAAATCAAACTTTTTCCATTAACAAAGAATAAAGGAATACATCACCATTTTAAAAATGGGTCTGAGGACTTAAGAGAAAGAAGTTATCTTTCAAAAAGTCACAGCATTCCCAGTGATTAGTATTTTAATATTACTCTTATTATAGCTTGTTGGGCTTGGAACATAATAAACTGTGAGTTCCCTGAGATCAGAGACCATCATACTAATCATTGTATCCTTGTAGCTTAAAACAGAGCTTCACCCATAATGGTGGAAATTTAATTTACTGAATGAGTGTATTAACAAAATAAATGCATGAAAGGGATGATACTTACTTATTTATCGAGTACCCCTTGCATTTATTTTTATCAATAAATTATTTGAGGCATAAAAGAAATGCCAAAAACACAAGGACATATTTTGTGTGCTCACACATACAGATACATACTTTAAATCATCCCATTAGAGAACAATACTGAATTCTAAGAACAACAATAAAATAGAATTGGCCAAGAGATCGAAATATTCTAATGATAAAGAGAAACATGTTATAATAGTACTTAGTAAAATGGGATGCTATCATTTTGAGTTTATGTTTTGTCCATCATTATTAGGAGCCATGTATATTATAATTCCTCCTGTATTGTCTTTCTTCCCCCTCCTCCACTTTAGGAATTACATAAAATTCATTTTAGATATAATCTTTCTTGTGAAACCAGTAATTTCTTCAGTTAGAGAAAACCCTTCCATCCTTGGAGTTCCCAATATACTTGTAGGTAGAATCTATTTCACCATATTGTCATTAATCACTGCGGCTGCCTTTTTTTATAGCTTTTGAGCTCCTAGAGGTAAGAGGATTGGCAATATTTCCATAGTGTTTTCTGTGCCTCCCAAGAGTGCCTAGCATACACAAACCTACAAATTCTTCTTGCCATATTAAGATCATCCTATTTCTTCAAGGCTCTAGTACTTGGCTGTAATACCTTCTCTTACCTTTCATGAACATCATTCACCCTTTGTATTAAATTGAAGACACTGACAACCAACTTATAATTTCTCTTCACCCTAAGTTTTGCCATCATTCTTGGTGATGTAGATGCCCACTTGATACCTAATCCAATATATCCTCACTCTTGACTTCCTCTTTTCTAATTACCTAATCCATTCCATCTGTCACCCACTTCCATGCTCACATTGTAGTCCTAATCATTGCTTACAATATTCCATTTCTAAAACCATCAGTTCCAATGTTCCCCAAGATTACAACTTCTATCAGATTGCTTGTTCCATCCACCACAATCATCTCTGGCTTCATTGGGATCAGCAATTCACTGATCCCTATATGTTCTCTCAAACAGTTAGTACTTTACTTTTAATTTTCCTCCTTTTATCCAGTTTAGGTACATGACCAACATTTGACAATACCTTGAATTCCCCTATAGTTAATAATCCCTCTGGCTAATCATGAACACAAATAACATTCTGAGTTCTTTACCACAGCATCCCAATAGCCAGGAAATACTTGATACATTCTATCTACTATAAATTCATCATAACTAATCTCAAACAGGCCCTTACGCTTCCTAGCAATCCTACATATTTTGGTCAATTCACTCTACAATAACTATTTTAAACCTCTGTCTGCTTGCCTAATATATCTGGCATCCCTCTTCATCTCTTTTAATTTCATTGAGAACACAGACATCGAGTAAGAACCATCCTCCTTCTACTACCATTAATACAAATTTGCTTGCATCATCTACCCTCTTCTACTAATAAAGCTCTATTATAAGAAATAATCCTACACATATCTGTGGTTAAACTTTTAACTATTTTGGAACCCATCCTTTCTGCCATCCTAGAACACTCACCCCTTTACTCTAAAATTGTCAACCTCTTAAATGGATTATTCTCATAGATTTTTATCATACTTGAATCATTTTCATTAAAAACAAGACAGACAAACCCAGCTGGTATGGCTCAGTGGATTGAGCATTGTGGTTCGATTCCTGGTCAGGGCACATGCCTAGGTTGCAGGCTCAATCCCTAGTAGGAGGCATGAAGGAGGCAGTCAATAGATGTTTCTCTCTCACATCAATGTTTCTTTTTTGTTTGTTTGTTTAATCCTCACCCAAGGATATTTTTCTATGTATCTTCAGATAGAATGGAAAGGAGGGAGGGATGGAGAGAGAAGTAGGGAGAGAGGTAGAGAGTAGGGGAGAGAGAGAGAAACATTGATACGAGAGAGATGATTGGCTACCTCCTGCACCACCCCAACCAGGGCCGGGAATGAACCACAACCACAACTGAGGTACGTGTCTCTGACCAGAATCAAACCCAAATCAAACCCACGACTCATTGGTCCACGGTCCCACACTCCAACCACTGAGCCAAACTGGCCCCAGGGCTCACATTGATATTTCTATCGCTCTCTCCTTCTCTGTCAATAAAAACACATTTTTAAAAAAAGACAAAACATCCTCACTACAAAGTCCACCTGAAGCACCCTCTGTCTTCAACTGCTTCAGAGCCATCTTTTGGAGATATTCAAACTCATTATCTCCATTTGTGCATGTCACATAATTCCAGTTTGTGGAATTAGTTCATGTCCAAGACACCAATGATTTCTAAATGACTCTGAATCCAACAGGACTTTTTCAGACTTCATTTTACTTGAAATCTCAGCAACATCTGATACTGCTGACCACTTCCTCCTTCTTGAAACATTTTTCCTTGGTTTACATGACACATGACAGAATCCTGGTTTTCCTTCTGCATCTCTAGCCACTCCATTTTGGTACTCCTTGAAGGCTCATCCACCTCTAATCAGTCATGAAATGTTAGAGTTCAAAGGACGGTCCTAGGCCAGCTCTATTTTTCACCATACACTTTTTAGCCCTCAGTGATCTTTTGTGTGTATATTATTTCAATTTGCCACCTAAACAAAGATGACTCAAAAATTTCTACCTTCCGCTGAGATCTTTCAGCTGCAGACCCAAATGTGCAATGACCTACTTGCCACTTCTTTTGGAGTATGCGTAAAATCACTTCTACCTCACATCTGAACTCATGTTATTCAACCCTAACTGGATCCCTTTTTTTTGTTTTATGTTTCAAGGAATGGAATGATCTTTTCAGTTATAAACCTATGGCTCATTTTACATACCTCTCATTTCTAACTCTCTCAGCAAGTCCTGTTAATTTTATCTCCTAATCTATTATCAAGTCATGTTCATTTTGTCTCCTAATTATCTCTCAAATTCTACCACTCTTCTTCTATTTTGACCTCCCCTCCTACCTCTCCCAGGTGAGTCTGGTAACTGTTTTCTCTACATCTACCCTTGCCCCTCTCCAGTTATCCATAACTCAGTCAGAATACATTTTTAACATACAGATGTCATGTCACACCTTTATTTCACTCTCTTCAATGGTTTCTAATTGCTCTTAGGATGGCTACATGGGCTTTTTTTTAATCCTTCATCCTTACCATGCTCACATCAACCAGCAAATCTTTATACCTGCTGTTCCTTCTAGTAGGTATGTGCCTTCTCCCCATGTTAGCTTGTTAATAACATATCCTTATTTTGTTCTATTTGTCATTTCCCAGTATTTTTTGGCCTCCGTGTGAATCAAAATTCCCAATTATAAGTACTCAGAGTGCTTATAGCACTTATGAATATAATTTTAAATTCAATACTTCATTTTTAATCTGATTATATTTAATGTGTCTTTCTCCCAGTAAGTTATACATTCAATGAAGGTCAAATATCTTGTTTTACTCAACACTGTATCTTAACACCTAACATAGTGGATAACATACAGTTAAGTGTGTTTAATATTTGTTAAATAAATGACCAGAAAGGTAGCAATCCTCACTGGTTCATTCACTGTTTCAAATGATATATAGTAACAGAATGCAGAGCAATTGGGTTTCTTTTCCACTAAATAGGTTAATCTCTTTGGAATGTGTTTCAAAATTAGATTTGGAAAAAAAATCATACTTCCATAAATGAAAAGCCATTTAGATTAGGTTTAAAGAAAAAAAAAAGAAATGCTACATTTCATAAAATAAATTAATAACAAGTAATAAATTTTGCCTTAAAATATATTAACAAGTGTTTCTAATTGCTGTACCCTGCAGGTGCATGAGATTATATACCATTTACTAATCACTGTTAACCAAACTTAACTAATAAGCAGTGGGCAGAGTTGGTCCTCAGTTACATTCCAATCATGGGAAAGCTAGACTCCAATTTTAAAATTCCAATTTAAGAAGTACTATGTTTGTTATTACTGCATAAGGGAAACTAAAAGCAAAGGGAATGCTTCATGTACTTAATTTCATGCCAATGTCAAAAAATGCTTTTCTAGGTTAACTTTCTCAGCATTTGTGTATAGGCAGGAGGAAAATTTGCTAAGTTTGGTATATATTTAAAAAAAAAAAGGATATTCACTTTATGTAAAAATTGAATTATACTTTTATTTTTCTCACAACTGCTCACCCCAAGCACTTAGCTTTCTCCTAGTGTTTAAATTTATTTTTGCAAAACTGACTACAGCTTTTAGTTAGAATTTAAAGGGCTGCCAAATCATTTGGCACCCAGAAATTATTAAGCTGGTTGACAGATAACCCAGAAGTCAACAAATAGGACTAAAACAACCAATTTCATCAGAAAGCTGGACAATATTCTCCAACCAAAAGCAAACAGAACTCTCATCGTTAGAAATGCAGTAAGAGTACGATATTGTTGAGGGGGCGGAGGGAAAGAAGGATAGAAATGTGAGCAAAGAGCCCAGCTGGTGTGGCTCAATGGTTGAGCATCAACCAAGAGGTCGCTGGTTAGATTCCCAGTCAGGGCACACGCCCAGGTTGTGGGCCCAATCCCCAG